CATTAAATGACTTCAAATGTTTGATGGAATAAACACTGAAAACCTTTGAGCAAAAGCACATTAAGATAAAATGAATATACAACAAAGTAAGAAGCATTAATCTGCTGCCATAATCCCAGTTAAACCTGAAGCTTCATCTAAACTCAGCAGGTGTTTCTCTGCAGTCGGCTCTGTTATCCTGACAAAACTGTTTCCAGCCAGAAAGGCTGCAGGTGTGAAATAAGGACAGCGAGGGAAAAATTCACACCAAAGACATTTGAATAAATAACAAGTGAGAGAAAACAATGAAAAGATACAAAACATCAGCAATATACAGCTTGTAACAGAGCAAACAGGGATGACATGACAAGTGTGAGGAAGAGGAAATGAGTCTATCAATGAGTCGAGGTGTTAGGCCACACATGAAGTCTCTGAGTCACCGCCCTCTCTCGTTAATCACCTAAAAATATTTATAATATTTTTAAAATTGCGTCGCTTTACTAACAGTATCATATGATGTTGTTAAGACCACAATAAAAAAGGATCAAATGTGGGCAACAAAGAAACAAAACTCTGGGTTTTTGTTCTATACACAAAGCTGAACGCAGACCTTCATTCATTTATTTTACTGCCTCTTCCGCACCCTTCTTCCCAGCCTTTACTCAGTGCACCAGCTCCAGCTGGCTGGTGGAGAAAGGCAGGACCCCACTGACGTAGTAGGCGATGCCCAGGGAGAGGAGGGCGATGACCACCAGCAGCAGCAGGACCCTCCAAAAGCCCAGGTCCTCCACAAACTCCTGCCAGGTGGTCCTGAAGCTGGACAGGACGCCCTCGGTGCTCTGCAGGTTCGGGTTCAGTAAGGAGTGGCTCTCCATCGCGCTGACACACACACACACACACACACACACACACACACACACACACACACACACACAGAAGTTTGTTATCGCTCACATGTAACTCTGTTCTTGTTCCTTTTTTCTGTGGTAAAGCTAAGAAAACCCACAATCAGTGTAGGAGCTAAAATGAAGATAGACCCTTCCAGAATCTCGTTTTAAGTCTAATTTAAAGCAGGCACAGAACAGTTCTCTGGGTCAGTATTATTGCTCTTAAAGCTGTGTGAAGTCTTGCTTGAAACTCTACCTGCTTTGCAGGAGAGAGCCAATCAGGACAGATCATGCTTTGGCTGCATGATCTGTCCCGATTGGCTCTCCACCCTCTCTCCTTCCAGCTCTGCTCACCTCTCACTGTCAGCCATCTGCATGGTCTCCAGTTTGGAGTGGGCTCCTCTGTTGAAGCCTTTCACCTCCTGCTCCTCCAGCCCCTCCAGCAGACGAATAGCATCCTTGTTGACTCCGCGTCTCTTCGCCAGCACCAGAGGAGTCGATCCGTTGTGGTTGCTGCAGTAAGAACAAAAGAAATCTATTATTTCTTTTATCCAACACACGAGTTTTGTATTAACTTGAACCAGGAAACCTCCATGATGTGAATATGCTGTTCCACAACTGTGCATACATAACTACAGTCACACATGTAGCCTGCAGATAAAAACAATATGATTAGTCTGCACAGTAGAATTAAAAGCTAATGTTTTAGTTAAGTTCAGCTGAAAACTGAAAGCACTGAATCCTTTTTAGTAATCCCAGCAAACAATGAGTCAGGTGGCCTTTGTACTGGCTTTGTCGCGGGTATGGGTGATTTACGTAACATCAACTCATAGCAGTAAGTGATGACCTCATTTAGTGAATTAAAACAATTTCACAACTCCCAAATATTCCCTGAAAAACCAGAACGTATCTAAGTGTTTGTGTCATATTTCAGCAGCTTCATCAGGGGCATCTTTCAGACAAGTCTAACAGTCTAAAAAGAGGGTAATCGGTACAGCAGCAGCATGAGGTCATCTCTTGTGTTTGCCATGGGGTGACTGAGATCTGTTAGCTTATCCATTCATCTTGTAAGCATTTAAACACACACAGCAAAATGTGTACTATGTGCAATTCAGTTAGGTGGACAAAAAAAACAAGAGCTCCAAAGCCGACGAGATGTTTCTGGACACTTTCAGACACTGGTTTAGATTTACATGCATGAAGAGTTCAGAGACTTCCTGTTGTGTTCATGCTCACGTGATCATTTTTGTGTCTGCTGGGGAGCGATATCACAGTACCAGCAAAAACACAAAGTCTGGTTTATTGCACTCTTCAGTTACAGGATTATTTATCAGAGCTTTAAAGTCTCCCAGAGAAACATCAGATATTCAGCTTCAGTTTGTTCACAACTTACTTGATAACCCAAAAGTTGGTAAAGGTGAAATGCTACTCATGGTGCCCAAGATGATAGTAAATGGTTGTGAAGGTTGAAGACGATCCATACAAAAGAAAAATGTGCGTGATCTAAAGGTTTCAACAATTTTCACATCTGGTGCAACCTTGACCCGATTTTCCCTCAAAATGAAATCAGCTCGAACTCTTATTGGCGTTTACCATCACACACGATTTGAACACAATAGTTTGAAAACTGCAAACAAACAGAACCAAATACTCCTCTCGTCTCCTCTGAGGGGAGCAACAGTGCACTCCCCCCGAGGGGACAGGAAGTCATTCGATTCGCTCTGCTGAGAGGTGAAAGGTGAATTCCACCAGTGGGATTTTAGCAGCAGTTACATAGAAAAGACTTATCTTTTAGTTATATTTCTTTCATTCATGAAATTTACGATACTTTGATTCAAATTCCCCAACTAACTTTATATATTTAAGATGCTCAATAAGCAGTTACAAAGAAAAAACAACCAAAATAACATTAAATGAATACTCTGACAGAATTAACACCAACCTCCGACTGAAGATTCAGAGTACTGCTGTCTGCTCAATTTTAAATTTGTTTCTTTTTGCTTCTTTTCTGTTGTCAGTTCTTTGTGGATTCAGATCATCTCTAGAGCAGCTTTGCTCATTGCAGTTTAATTTGAGTTTAGTGCTTTTTCATTCATTCAGAAATCTCTAAAGGGCAGATTTAAGTTGTTTAGAGAGGGTATTACAACCCAAACAGTCTCAGTACACCACGTCTTTTAGCTTCTACCATATCAACATGAATCATGCATGACTACATGATTCTGAATAGTTGATATACATGAAATTAAAAGTGGAGTTAAAATGAGAGAACATTAAGTTGCTCAGGGTGGAAACAGCTCACTGTCATCACCTGAACTCTGAATTCTTACCAGATGTCGATCTTCAGCCCGTTGGACACCAGGAACTGTATCGTATCCACGTGGCCGCACAGGTGCAGCGCCGTATTCCCCTGGTAATCCGTCGCCAGCAGATCGGCCCCAAACTTGTGCAAGAGGCGGCATATTTCCACGTTCCCTCTGGCGGCGGCTAGGTGGAGGCCGGTGCGGCCCCGGTTGTCACGGATGTTGGGGTCGCATCCGGTCTCTAGCAGCCTCTTGGCGAAGGGCAGGTCTCCATCGATGCACGACTGCAGCAGAGGCACGCTGGTCTGCGACGAGTCGTTGATGAAGACATAGGACATGTTCGAGTGGGTGTCCGAAAATTCCAGCGTACCTGAGACGGTGAACAAAGAGGCAAAATGTGGAAATGTTTTCTAAATGCTGAACTAAGATGCATGCTGAGCTCCCTCGGGAAGCACTCCCACCCCACTCCACTCCACCTGCCTGCATCTGTCTCCCCTGTTAGAAAGAAGGGTGGTGTAAATTGAGCAGCAAGTGTTGAAAGACGCTCAGTTCTTAAACTTGTTTCCTCATTTTCTCTGATTTCTCTGCTTTTTTAAAGAACAGAAGTCAAGTTTCAGACTGGAAATACTGCTCCCTCTCCTCGGATTTCCATCACAATCCAAATCATCCTTTTTTTTCTTGCCTCATCTGAGAGTTAAAGTCACTGCACCTCATCTTTCTCTCGTCTAACTGGCATGACAGTTATTTAAAGTGAACCTGATTACTCGGCTGGCATTTTGAAATTAAGCGTCAGGGATCAATGAGGTTGAGTCCATCTGCCAACTCTTAGGCACATTTATCAAACACATTTAAACTCCCTGTTTTCTGTGTTTGCATCTCTCACCACACTTTTTGATGAATCTTCCTCTCCTGCTTTCTCTTCACCATCTCTGAAACCTGCACTCGAGACTTGCTGAGTGATTTCTCATTTCTCCTTTCTTACATTAGCTCTTTCCCCTCTCTCACTTTCAGACAGCGAGTACTGCCACCTAGTGGCAAAGAATCACATAGCTCATAAGTTTTTTCTT